GGGACCGAGAAAGAGGAGTTTCTGTAAGAAAATCGCTTTTTAATGAACGCAAAGTGAAGCTGTTCTTGCAGAAGGGGAATTTCCAGAGCTCGCTGGGAACAGCCGGAGGATCTGGGGGTTGGAATGAGATGATTTGTGAGGTCTCATCCAGCTTTTCTCATTTTTGCGGTTCTCTGCTCTCCTGCCTGCCTTGAGCCGCTCTTTTTTTTGTGAATTACCGGAGTTCTCGGGGCGGGTGCCTTTTTTACTCAGCCGTTCCCCTCCACCAGCGGCAGTTTCTGGAAGAGCCATTGATGGTGCGGGAGGTGCGAATTTCTCTCTCCCTCCCTCCCCCTCCTTCCTCTCAGCAGTTTTCTCCCTTTCTCGCTGCACCCTGGGTTTGTGGTCATCACCCCCGCCCCGTTCTCGCTGCAGCGGGACAGAGAGGAGGGTTTGAGYTGCTCGAGGAGCATTTTCTGCCCTCGGAGCAGGGGGAGGTGGCAGACAGGAGCTCTGAGTGCATCAGCAGCTCTTTGTCGCAGGAACCCAAATCCTGCACAGTTGTCTCGTTACAAACCCAAAATTACACTTTTTTTTCCATAAGAATTTCCTTTTCCTGCTTCTTTCAGCGTGAGCTGCTAAAATTTTCCCTTGTGGTTCCAAATTCGGGCTGGAGGGCAGCAGATGCGATCCCACATTCAGGTATTTCTGATTTCAGCTCACAGTCTGCAGATGTGATCCCACATTGGGATATTTCTGCTTTTTCAGCTCACAGTCTGCAGATGTGATCCCACATTCGGATATTTCTGATTTCAGCTCACAGTCTGCAGATGTGATCCCACATTCAGATATTTCTGATTTCAGCTCACATTCTGAGGATGTGATCCCACATTCAGATATTTCTGCTTTTTCAATTCACAGTCTGCAGATGTGATCCCACATTCGGATATTTCTGATTCCAGCTCACCGTCTGCAGATGTGATCCCACATTGGGATATTTCTGATTCCAGCTCACAGTCTGCAGATGTGATCCCACATTGGGATATTTCTGATTTCAGCTCACAGTCTGCAGATGTGATCCCACATT